AATGCGGCCAGCAGCAGCAAACATGCTGGGTTGCCTGGCCAGCTCTGATTTCCTTCAGCCTGCTGTGCCTGAGGATTAGGATCCAGCATTTGCCCTGAACCACAGTCTGAGGGTGCTGCAGTGAGGGGCTCACGTGTCTCCTCAGAGGCCTGTTCCCAGCAGGACCCCAGGTCCTAGTGAAGGAGGAGTGAAATTCTGTGCTGGAATAAGCTGTTTGCGAGCTGACTGCCCTGGCTCGATTTGCCTGTGTGCGCTGCTTTAGCCCTTCAGGAGCTCCCCTGCTTTGTCTTTCTGGAGTTCATTTTTAGTGGGGGTCTTGACTACAAGCAGTAGTTGTCCTACCCTGGACCTCCGTCATTCGGAAGTTGTGTTCATGGTGGGGTTGAACTGCTGTTGTGCGGGACCTGCCAGCCCACCCGTCAGCTGTGAAGACAGAGGGTTAAGGAACTCTGCTGTGGCCAGGCCCTAGCCTTTTCCTTCCCTGTGGAGGGGACCGAAGGAACCTTTTCTATTTATTTATTTTATCCTCAGCACAGTTACCTCTCCCCCTGGCTGGGTGAGGCCGAACCACAGAGGTCAGCGTAGGCTAGCAGAGTGCTGGGGAAGCGCTGCTGGAGGAGAGCTGCCTAATTAATGTGTCTAATGCTGCTTGCAATTGCTGCTGGGTTTCCTTCTCCCAAAGCCTGGACGTGCTGATCTGAACCAAAGATTGCTGCTGTCCATTGAGGGAGGACAGTGCAGTGGTGGATGCTAAGAAGATAAGATAGGAGGAAACCACATGGCAGGCTCCAGAGCTTTAAGCAATTGTGTCTGATACATGCACTAGAAGTTACTGCATTGTCTGCTGAGAGCCTCCCTGCTTTCCGCATCTTGGAGAGACCAGTTACATGGCTGATTCATGGCAACCTGACTGGACCACTGGTATTGGAGTAACTCCTCTGGGATCTCTGTGCTCTCCAAAGCCATCATTCCTCTCTACTTACTCAGGAGTTTGAGGGAGTCCAGGGCCACTTGTGACCATGGAAAGGCAGACTCTAGAACAGAGATGAAACTTCAGTCTGTTGAGTTTTCCCAAAACTCTTATTTGGGACATTTATTTATTGTCTGCTCAGTCATATTGTTGCTGTCAGATCAGCACAACAGATGCACCTCTGGGAGTGAGTCCGTCCTGCTCTTTGGTAGGAGCACCAGTGAGTTGCTACTGATGCTGTCCTGGATCACTCACCATGCCGGAGCATCCAGAGTGCTCCCAAGCCACAAATTGCTGACCCTTATGAGGACATAGCTTGCTGTGATCCTCCTTCATCTGTCCGTAAAAAGTCAAATTTGAAACAACTCAGCTTCAGAGTAATGTCCTTCAGCACTCAGTGTCTGTGCAGTTTCTGCCACGTGTTTGTGCTGCTTGTTTCCCTGTCCTGCCAGGCTGAACATAGCTGTTGCTTGTGCAGGCTGAACAGGCTCTGCTTGGCCTGGTTGTCCCTCGGACATGAGGAGTTGTTCTTTATAGTGGGTCTGTGTTGTGGAGGAGCGTGACCAGGGCTGATACCAAGGTCTTCCTGCTTTGCACTGGAATATATGTTTTTTTTTCTTTCTTATTAGATAGTCACAGAAAAGGATGAAGCTGTGCAATATCTCTGCAGATCTGTCTGTCTTTTCTTTTGTTAGCGGCTACAGGCTGTAGCCCCCAGGTCTTTGTGTCCACAGGGTGGTGTCCATCACAGGGAACACTTGTCTGTCTGTATCACTGCTGTTCGGAGTTGTGGATCTGAGGATGGCAGGTGTGAGGATTCGAAGTGGGGACAGCGTGTGGAGTTGCAGTAACGCTACAGTGGCGGCGACTGCTGCGTCCTGGCTTAAGTGGGGGGCTTGAGAGCAGCGTGTTGTGCTGCTGACGGCCTGCCTGGCACGTGGTACCATCTGCTGCTGATGGTTCTGTCCTTGGCTGATGAAGTCCATGTACTGTATTTATGAAGTGATTTATATTTTTTCCCCTTGGGCCCCTTCCCAGCTGCAGCCCCAGAGCAGCGCAGCCAAGCTCGACCTTCTCTTTACATTCCCTTCCTTACAGGGCAGCCCTCTTCAAGGGCTGCATGCTGCGCTCAGAGGCAGAAAAAAGCAGCATTGCACAAAGTGCTTGGACTATAGCAGATTTGCGTTTGCCACGTAGAAACCTGCTGCCTTACTGTAGTATGTAGCAAGCAGAAGCATGTTGTGGTCAGCACGCTAATTTGGCACAAGGGAAGGGCTTACAAGGAATGTTTTCTTCTTGGCGCAGAGGAGTTGGTGTTACAGGGCCATGCAGCTTGTGAGTAGGATGTGTGTTTTGGGGGCTGACTCCTTTTTCATATTTAACCTCTGACTTGCCTTTGCTTTATTGAAACAGGGAGTTGAAAAGCACTGTGCTCACCTGCTAAACCTCAGGACCTTAATTTCAGCTTTCCATGGCAGGGGAAGTCGACTTCCTGGTCAGTCTGGTTTTAGCTCATAGCTTGTTCCAGTTCTTTCCAAACCTGCTTTAGTGCTAGTGAGCTCCCAAGGCAGTAGGAGGGAGTTGTGGCTCCAGTGCAGCACAGACCCTCTCAGTGTCAGCTGTGCACAGGTCAGTCATTTTGTGTGTGATTTTGGGGCAGGTGGAATCTATCTCATATGAGTTTTAAAAGCTGCCTTAAATCATGGTCCAGCTGTACTATATAGAGGACAATCAGCTTCTTATAAAGAAACCTTGTTTAAATACTTGATGTCTAGAGAACTGAACTGTTTTTTGTATGTTCCTTGCTGAAGGAAGCACTTAATAAACTGGATTGTGTTACTCAAAGCATGTGTTATTACTCTGGCCAGGAGCTGCATAAATGAAAGGGTCCTGGCTGGCAGTTAAAGAACTGGTTCACTTAAACCTGCAGCTGCTTTGAGCTGCTCTGGCCCCTGCTGAGTGGGGAGGGCGAAGTCTGAGCTGTGACCCAGCAGCCCAGGACTTGGGCTGGCTCTTTCCCCAGCTCCTTTCTCCCATTGCTTACTCGGTCCCTCAAGCAGCCAGGGTGGGAGACCTGCGGGCAGAGGGGAGGTTTTTGGAGCAGGGAGGAGAGCACTCAGCGCTCTGTGTGTTCTCAGGAGCAACCCAGTTTTCCTTTTTACAACTGCCTGGCTCTTGTTGCTTTGGTGTCCTGTTACAGTGCAAAGCTGTCGTGGCACACCTTGCCCCTGGCTGTGCAATTTATAGCACTGCTGAGGGTGAAGCAGGGTGGGCAGCACCCATAGCCGAGGGCTAGGCTGAATAGGAAAGGTCACTTCCACCTTCAGCCCTGCCTGCTTCCCTCTCAGGGTGCCAGCCTGAGGCAGGGGAAGGCAGGCACCGGCTGGCACTGCCCACAGCCTCCTCTTCCTGTCCAAGAACCGCGTTCGCAGAGCCAAATGACCTTGCGCAACCCTGCACCCGTGGCCTTGCTGGGCTGGAGGGAGCCTGAGCCAGGGCTCCCTGCCCTCCAGCCCAAGGCAGGGTGAGGAACACAGGTCAGTCCTCACTGGAGAGGGTGCAGTGCAGGCTGAAGAGCAAGGACAGCAGCGCTCTGCTCCTGCTTCAGCACTCACTTGCTTTTAGAGAGAAGTGGATTCTCCTATTGCTTTATCTGATCCCGTGTACACTCGCAGCTGTAGCAGGTAGATGCCATGGCTTGTCCCCTTTCTCTGGCTGCTCAGTACACAATACTTCCCTGTGACTGAGGACAAAGTTTTCACTTTATTCATAGCACCGTTCATCTGAGGATCTCCAACCCTTCAGTTTCACACCACCCTGTGAAGTAGGACTGTGCCTTTTCCCTTTTACAGATGAGGGAAGGGGACATACAGCTTACATGACTGCCTACAAGCAATCGGGCATGGTAAGAACACCAAACACCTAGGAGCGCGCCCACCCACCATACCCCCCACCCCAGGGCCTGGGCTGCTGTCATCCAGCCCTGCCTTCCCCTGCTGCAGCACACCTCTGCACAACATGCCTGGGTGCTGGCAAGAGCCAGGAGGTGTCTGATGTGATCACACCCCCTCCTTTAGATGAGAGTTAGGTGTTTCACAGTTACTTGTCAGCAATAGGCAGTGATGTGCAGTACAGAAGGATCGCGAATAAGTACTCCCCGACACTGGCCAAGCCCCTCTCCCTGCCTGCAGTCTCCCAAAGCACTTTTGATGAAGCCAGGTCTAAGCCCTACTGCAGCCCCAGTTCTCTTCCCTCTTCCCCTCCCAGGAGAAAACCTCAGCATCACATTTGCATGGGTAGGCAGCAGAATGTCCCTACAAGACGGGCAAAGGTGCAGCTCTGCAGCGCCAGGTAAGGACTTCTCAAGACCAGAGGCACGGATCTCATGTCTCCCTGCTGCTTTTCAGCGAGAGGGGGAAAAAAAAAAAATGTTGCCGTATGGCATTAGCAGCACTGACAAGTACTGGCCCTGCGTGGTGTGATGCTAAGGGGATACACCCCCACCCCACGCACGCAGGGCCATGGTTACAAAGCTACGAAGGGAGAGGTTCTTCCTCACCCCTTTACTCTGGGCCATGATCAAGGAGTTGATTCAGAAGCCAGAGGGTGAGTGTGAAATTGCTTTCGCTACAAATTGAGTGTGGGTTACTTTGGGTTTAATGGTGGATTAAGGGCAACTTTCAAGCTAACACCCAACCTGGCAAGCCTACTTTGCCCAGGCCAGTTTCTATCTACTCTAAAGTGGGGTCACTGCAGGGGAGGGGTCCTGGGGTCCCCACTCAGAGGAGGCAGCAGGCCCGGAAGAGCAGCATCCCATCTGGTGAGGAGAGGTGGAGGGAGATGCTCTCGTTGGCAGAGATGAACAGCACGGAGCCACGACGCAGAGTCATTTCAGACGCTGCAGCTGTGGAGGTACCCACAGCCATTCCTTGGATCACCAGCAAGATGCTAGCAGAGTCCACAGCAGAAACAAGGTACAGCTTGATAGAGGAAGGAATCTGCAATAAAAACAGTCACTGTGGCTTGAAACTTCTCCTGCAGCTTTTCTTCTCTGAAGAGAGCTGGAAGGGGTTTGCCCCTGTTCTCACCCTGCAGGCTCCATTTGCTGTGCCCAGGCCACCCCATGCCTGTAGCAGCCCAAGCCCAGGCAGCTCAGGGGCCCTCAGATCAGAGGCTGGCTGAGGACACCAAGAAAACCCCAGCCTACAACCAACACCACGATCTACTGAGCACAAAGAACACAGCCAGGATGTAGAAAAGCTGGTGTCCCTCATAGCCCCAGAGCAGACTGGTTCCACAGACAAAGGCCAAGCAGGAAATACAGCAGGAAGCAAACGTGCCCTGGCATGGGGACAGGCAGAAGGCAACCCAAGAGGACACCTCAGCAGACCAGCTGGTTGCGGGATGGACACTGGATCGTCACCTAGCCACGTGCTTTGGGATCTCTATGCGGCATCATAGGGCAGCTTGGATTTAGCTCCAAGCTGGCCGTTCCGGAGGAACCTGATAATCCTTTCCAGCTCTAACTGGCAAGGCGGGAAGGATGCAAGTTTCCAGCAAGCTTCCTTTTGACCATGTGATCTCTCCTGCACACATCACCTTGGAGCAACGCTACTAGCATCCCAAAAGTCAGGGTTAAGCTCCTTGCAGAGCTAGTTTGCCCAGCTTCCCTGGCCCCCTGGTGCTGCACAGGTAAGCAGAGTTTTATAAGTCATCCAGGTCTCTCTCATGCCGGTTCCACCCAGCCACTGCCAGTACAGTCTGCAAGCTGCACTGCTGGAAGAAAAATAGTGCTCTAATGCTGTTGGGCCTGGTTTCCCTCCTGCCCACCTCCCTGTTATGTTGCTGTCCAGGCCCCTTCGCCACTCACCTCTATCCTCATGAGTGTGAAGTCTGGCACAGGTGGGTCGTAGAGGTAGACACTGGGATCGAGCTGGCTCTGTGTAGCAGGGAAGATCTTGGAACTGCTGGGTGCTGGTGTGTAGTTGAGCATCTCGCACAAGGTGAGCACGTCGATGAACTTCGGGGTGAGCCCGGCTCGCACGGTGTTGTCCGAACACGCCATGCACTCGATGCAGTCTGCAGGGAAGAGGCCTCACTGTCAGCGTACCCAGGAGCCCTCCCCATCCACGAGTCCCCCTGATCTGAGGGCTCTGTTCTGGCACATCCCAGGAGGATGCACCCCTGCCCCGACTGTGCGAGAGACCACAGACACCGTGGCTCTCCCCCTGCAAACCCACAAGTGACAGTGTCGGCTGTTGGCCCCTTGCGTGGTCCTGGCTTAGAAATGCCCATCCCAAACACAGAGGCCAGTGGCCAGCACGCACATCTCTACGCAGCTCTTCTCAGTGCAAGAGCAGGGTGGCCCCGGCCAGCCCCAGTGCTCACCTCCGTGCAGGTAGGCGTGCGGCTCGTTGGCTCCCAGGAACATAGCCTCCCCCGGCTCCAGCCTCACCAGGTTGAGGAAGTAAATGGTGAAGCAGCCGATGTCTCCTGGGTACTGGGAGTGCAGCCGCAGCAGCAGGTCCCCGTTGCTCCCCGATGTGTCCTTCCCTTCAGCAGCTGCAGCGAGGAGAGCCCAGGAGCAAAGCTCAGGTTAATGGCAACCCTGAAGTCACTTCTCCCTAGTGCTGGGTAGCAGTGTCCTGCAGGGAGCTGGGGTGAGGGGCTCCCTGTGTTCCCTCTGCCCAAAACATACCCTCAGGCAGGGCAGCCCTTGCTGCACCCCGTCCCTGCTGAGGAAGCAGAGAGGGCATGCGCAGGAAGAAGCGTTTGCAGGCTAGAATGAGCCCCTGTCCTTCCCTCTTCCTCCTTCTCCCTCCCTCTCTCCTGGACCCTCTCCCTCCCTCTCCGTCCATTTCCCTCGGACCCTCTCCATTCCTCTCCCTCCCCCTCGTCTGGACCCCCTCCCCCCCCCTCCCCCCCCTCCCCCCCCCCCCCCGCCTTATGCATACCCTGACCATGCTCAGGCTCCCCAGGGCTTGGCACTCCTCCCCTCCGCTCTCCTGTCCATGGAGAAAACGGCCACAAGCACAATTCCTACTAACCACAGCGTTTACTTCCAATTTCCTAGGAGAAGGGAAAGCCTCCCCCAAAGCATTCCTCCAGTGGATCCTCCAACCACAGTCTCCCCCTCCCAACTCTCACCCCACGGGCAAGCAGTGGGGTAGGCTGCTGTGTCTGCGCTGGAGAGAGCTTTCACATCAGGCTCCCTTTAAACAATGCCCTGCAGCTTGGAGAAGACACGCCAGGTACTTGGCAGGGTCCTGGGGCAAGCTGTGTGCCTCTGCTCCAGTCGGTTCATCCCACCCCCGTCTGACAAGCACTGTGGTGAGCATAAATAACCAGAGCCTGAGGGGTTAACTGCGCTGCCCCTGCCCAGGTCAGCTGCCCTGTCCGAGGGCAGCATTGTCCGCACGCTTTCCCAGTTATTATACAGCTATAAATACACACGTCTCTCTCCAGCCTTGGCTGGCAGCTTCCTCCAGTTTATTTTTACTGGATAAGCCTTGGAGCAGGAGAGACTGGAGCCCACCAGCATTGGCCCCAGGCTATAGCATTACCCACAGGCCAGAGATCGGTTCAGAGCTGAGCTCTCGGGACTGGGACCACTCCTGGAGCGCCATCACGTCAAGGAGACTGGCCTGCACAGACCAGGGCGGTGCAGCCGCTGTCTGCCTGGTGCTAAGGGAGAGTCACTCAGCTCAGCAGAAGGCAAGACGTTCCCCCCGTGTGGGCAGCTTCTGGCGATACCCTTGGACCCTCCTGGCCCAACAGCAGCTGCAGGCAGCAAACACCCGCTTCTGAGCGCTGTACCTCCATCCCCACCCCCACAGCCCCTTCCTGACGCCCAACTCGCTAGCCTGGACAGCTTCTGAGGATCAGCTGCCGGCAAAGGGAGCTGCATCTGGTATAGACCAACTGCTACAGGGAGAAGAGAGGCTCTGGTCCCTGCAGTCCCAGGCTGGCAGGCAGCCAAGGGAGGAGAGCAAGGACAGCCTAGTGCTCCAGGAGCGGTGTCCCCACATGGCCTCTGCCAAGCTGGGCACGGACCGGGGCGTTTCTTCCTCTGGGCTCAGGGAAGCTCATGCCTGGTGCCTCTCCCCCAACCCCAGCTCCCCGTGCCGCGCTCTGCACCGAGCAGAAAACCAACCTTCCTGGGAAATCCTCTTCACCAGCATGTTCAGCTGGTCCACGAAGAACTTCTTCTCGCTCTTCATCATGCGGGTGAAGCAGACGCGCAGGGCGGCCGACACGCCGCGGGGGTCGTCGCTCACGCTGCGCTCCAGCTGTTCCGCGGCCACGTCGCCGATCAGCGCCCGTAACTCAGGGACGGCTGCGAGGACAGCAAGCACCAGTGTGAACTGGGGTAGGGCTGCCCCTCTTCCTCTGGCTCCTGTCACCATAAAGCCAGCCTGCCCGGCCGCAGAGCCCCCTGCCCCATCACCCCTCCTAGGGGTCATGCCACCAAAAAGCATTTTGGGCCACACTGGAGGGACTGGGGTCCTTCCTGCCCTCCTGTGGAAGGGGGGCAGAGTAGATTAGAGCACATGCCACAGTGCCACGGCACCCCCCCTGCCC